CTCTTGCTCAGGCTGGTCTCGAACTCCTGAGCTCAAACAATCCGCCTGCCTTGGCCTCCCAGAGTGCTAGGATTACAGGCGTGAGCCACTGCGCCTGGCCTCCCCTCTCAGCCTCCCAGAGTGCTAGAATTACAGGCATGAGCCACCTAGCCCGGCTGAAATCGGACATTTCATACTTAATAACCTAATACATAGTGCTCTGCTTTTAAAAATTCTTCATTTTAAATGTAATTGTAGGGGAGATGATCATCTTAATAGCTCTTGATTACTTAAGTAAACCACCAGGCATATTCCTTATGATAAAATTAAATTAAGCAGGGAGGAAATTACTGAGAATTATTTAATGCTGATATACCTTTTAAATGGTTCATTTTTAATATGCACAATGTAGTGCTCAGTGTCCTTAAGGAGCTTTTTTCAAGAGGATAATAAGATGTGGGTCTAGTACAGCTGTAGGATAATTTTTTGATTATTCGAATCTTACATTATTGAATGCCCAGATTTAATTTAATGGAAGAACAAAACAAAACAGAGCAAATAAACTATAATTTCCTAAATTAATCTTCTTGGCTTATGAAATTAATTCTATTATTTATTGAACACTCATAATATATCAAGCATTATTCCAGATAATGTGTAGACCTTCTTCTTAGGGAACTTAAAATCTACAGGAGGAATTACACATAAATTATGATAGCAGTCGTGTGTCAGAGCTGGCTTGAGAGAGCCTACTGTTGAGTTTTCAGGAAGCTTGCGAGTCATTTTACAGAACAATGGTAGCCAGAAATTGTCCATGATGACAGTATTTACACCATGGAAAGTAGCAACCGCTACAAATCAGGGCTTCTTCCCACCACATTGCCCAAGGAGCCAGTTGTTAAGCATGCACAGCACACCCCCGGGTAGAGTGAGGGCCAAGTGCTACGAGAAACTCAGAGCTGCACGCAGGGATTTTGGCTCTTTGCTATCAAAGACGATGCAATTCATGACAGATGTTCTCAGCAATGCAAGTCAGCTGATGATTTTCTCTTTTAATTAATTGTCTAATTAAGCATGTGTAGAACTCAGTAATTTGTGCTTGCTTAAGGAGCACATTTGTTGCCAATCTGTAAATATTGTAAACTTAAAACTAGAATAGTTTCCTAAAATAAATTTTGCTCATAGGTCTTAGGGTTCTCAGTTAAGTTCAATAATCATATCTTAGTCTTTGTTTTTGGAGGGGCTGCATGAAGGCAGTCAGTCCATCCTCCTGTTTGTCCATGCCACCAGCCGATGGTATTTGCTCACCTCATGGAATGACTGAAAATGAAGGTGGGAAAGACATCCAAAGGTGTTCAGTGTGGGAGGTGCAATAACAAGGGTCATTCTCTGCTGTTTCTAATAGATGTCTCCGAAACGTTGAAGAGAATGGCATTCAAACGGTGGTCAGAACTGCCAGGCAGTCACTTAAACTTAAGGTGCCTCCAACAGTTTGGGAGAGTGGCACGATGGCATTTTCCTTTGTGATGCAGTCTCCAGGACAGTCTGAAAGACAAACTATCGTAATGTCCCTCACTCCCCTGAACATCCAGAACTAAGATGTTCTCTCCCCAAGAGCTCATCTGCGGCTATTCCTCCATTGCCACAAATTCAGTATGTCCTATTCCAGTAGCTATAACTTCACCATTTTCCCAGTCATCTCCTATTTTCACCTACACCTTTTTTCTGAAAGATCAGGCGTAAGAACAACAAAGGAATTCTTAAAAAAGTTCCAGAGACCTATTTATTTCCTACTTTGGCTACTATAGGAACACTTGGTAAGCAGGGCACTCAACCAAGTGGTTATTAACCTTATGATCTAGGATCATGTCAACCCGACAAGAGAATTGGGTAGCTGAAACAGAATTAAGTTTGAATCCCCTAGAATCCTTTTTGGGTCTAGTTGCTACCAAGAGGGTGGGCCAACTGTGCTGGCCTGCATTGCTGTTAGGGGGAAAAAAGATGCATTATTTCTGGGAATGGTCATGGCAGCTGAATTTCCTTCCTTCTTTCCTTCTTTCCTTCCTTCCAAGACAGGGTCTCGCTCTGTTGTCCAGGCTGGAGGGCAGTGGAACAATCATAGCTCACTGCAGACTCGAACTCTCAGGCTCAAATGATCCTCCTGCCTTAGCCGTCCAAGTAGCTAGGACTATAGGTGTGCACCACTGTACTGTGCCCAGCTAATTTTTTTATTTTTATTTTTTTTGTAGTGATACAGTCTCACTAGATTGCCCAGGCTGGTCTTGAACTCCTGGGCTCAAGTGATCCTCTCACCTCAGCCTCCCAAAGTGCTGGGATTACAGGCATGAACCGCTGTGCCTGGCCCTGAATTTTCAAAATAGGTTTTTATAACCCCTTCCCCTTTTTTTC